AAGGAAGGAAGGAAGGAAGGAAGGAAGGAAGGAAGGAAGGAAGGAAGGAAGGAAGGAAGGAAGGAAGGAAGGAAGGTTATAGATGAGCAGACGAACATCAATCAATCAACAAATTTTTATTTGTAGATCACTTTTCATACGGAACAAGGACGACAGAAGATCAAAACAGGAAGTGATGAAAGCAAAAAAAATCCCTAAAAAGACCAAAGAAGGAGCTCAAGTTCTTCACCACTGAACCAAAAGATTTATTAGTGCTGATGTGACATGAGAGGAATAACCTGAATCACAAATAATAAATAACTAAAAATAAAATAAAACAAATAAATAAATAAGCTAAATTACCGACTGTCTAATAAAACTCCTGTTATAAAGTGGGAATAGTGGAGAATTTGAATTCCTGATTTTTACTGTAAGATTCTCAGAGACAAATTATTAAAACTTCAGTTTTCAGCCGGGTCAAAGGTCGTCAGGAGGCGAGCTGAAGGAACATGATGTTTAAATGAATGAAGCCGTGTTGGACTCGGAGCCGACCCGGCTGAGCGACGATGAAGATGAACCTACCGACTTGTTGGAGGTTTGGTTGGCCAGCAGCAGCTCTGCAGTCACCTCAGTTCGGCTCTCCTGCAGGTCAAAGGTCACATTGTTAAATAAAGACACCAGAGGGGACGGCCGGGGGTTCTGCTGCGCCTCTGGACCCAGGGCGGCGGTTCTGCTGCTGGAGGTCCGGGAGGGCACTTTGTCCGGGACGGTCTGCGGTTCCGGATGCTCCATGGCATACAGGAAGGTCGGGATGATGGGAACTGAAAGAGGAAAACGGTTCTGATGATGTCAGAGGCACCAGAACCAGCAGAAAGAGGGACGGGTGTGAGCCGGAACAGTCCGATCTAAAGTTCAGGCTCAGGAGGGGAAACGTGAATGTGTGACCTCTGATCGCTGCAGAACCTGAGCGCCGCTGCGGCTAACAGAGAGTGACAGCGCAGACCCGCCGGGTCAGAGCGCGGTTCTGCAGGAGCCCAGCTGGGTTGGTTCCCCTGGGGCAGGCCGGTTCTACAACAGGCAGTCCAAACTTTTGTTGCCAAAACAGCAACATTAAGTAAAAACTCAGTATCAGATTTATTATGGGAAATATTTGTCAGGTGATTTTTATAAAACAGTAAATGTCATCAGTTTGGAGCAATAAAAGCAGAATTGATCTCATCTGGGGAAAGAGATTTAAAGGTGAATACTTTGTAAAAGGTTTAAGTTCATCCCTGAGACAGGGGTCAAAGTTCAGCAGGAGAACCAGCCTGGGATGGTTCAGATCAGCGGTTATAACGGCCTAGTCAAAGTCTGGACCTGAATCTGACTTTAAATGGGATATTCTCCATCCAACCTGACTGGACCTGTAGTTCTGACTCAGAGGGTTGAATAGAAAAGGAGATTTCAGAACCCGTTGATCCAGTCCTAGTCAAAGTTTGGAGTGTGTCGTCGTTCCCTCACCGACGACGGTGAGCAGCATGTTGTCGAGCAGCAGAGCAACGCAGACCACCACCAGCACCAACCTGGGAGAGTCGCGACTCTGGAGCAGCCACGCCATGCCTGTGCGCACGCACACACACGCACACACACACACACACGCACACACACACGCACACACACACACACCCGCACACACGCACACACACGCGCCCACACACACACCAGAACCAACACAGAAACATCAAAACCTGTCACTGCAGAGGACAACAATAATGACAATAATAACAACACACTGTGTTTTACAGTGTAATTTGAACCATTTCCTGTTTTTCACCAGTTTTTCTGTCAGATTATCATTTGATGAAAGTGAATTTCTGTTTTATTTCCATTCATGCTGACTTCATATCGCTTCTGTTGCTCCTGCATATCACATCTGATCTTTAATAAAGTCCGAGCCGGGCTGTTATCATGCAGGATCCAGGTATTAGTCTGGTCCCGCTGTCTGCAGCCACTCCGCCTGGCGTCTGACCCAACACTCTGGACGGTCAGCAGCTTTGGTCTTTCGTGATAATTTCTCACTCAATGCCTCAGATATCCTGTGATCACTCTCCTCTCCTCCTGCTCTCTTTCCGTGTTTTATTGTCGAGTTTGAATGCTCTCTAAAGCTGAAGTTTTTTTCAGAACCAGATTGGAGATTTACAGATTTCAACTCACCACCAGGCTAAAAATGTTCAGAGAAAAACAGTAAAACCAGGTTTAAATCATGTACACCCCATTATCCCTGCACATCCGTCAGTGTTTGGTAGTTTCTATCATAGTTAAAGTGAATTTAACTCAACCATGTTTCTGATTAAACTCCTCTGGATCATAACGAGACAGATGAAGAAACTATTTAAAAACTGATAAAAGCAGTAATTAAATATCTTTGGTTGTAAAACATTGAGGGTAAAAACTAAATTGTAACATTATGAATTTATTCCCAGAAATTAACTTTCATAACGTCAGCAGCAGGTTCGTTAAGTTTTGGGTCTGCTGATTGTTTCAGATGCTGTTTCCTGTTTCCTGTCTCCGTAATGTAATTATCCCACATCCACATGCCGCCTTCTTCTCTTATCGTCCTCCATCTCATTTCCCATTTCTACCTCCGCTCTCCTGTTTCCACAACAAAATTGATCTAAAATTTAATTTTTCTTTTCAGTTATTTGTTGGGTACAAAAGGAAAGAACACAGCAGATCATCTGCTGGAGTTTCAAGAAATTAAAGATTTTCCAGAAATTGAACTTCACAGAAACCTTTCCTTTAACAGACAGATGATTGATTCAGAAATAACACCAGCAAAGACTATTTTAAAATAAAAAATAAATTAGAAAAATTTAACTAAAGTAGAAAATCCAAATAAAATAAAAAGTAAAAAAACTAATAAACTTAAAATGGAAAAAAAGCATTTTTAAATAAATTTATTTTAATAAACATTTAAATTTAAAGTAAAAATTGTTAAAAAGCCTGAGATAAAATAACCAAGATAAAATTTAAATCCACTAAATATTAAAAAATTGTCCAAATGAAACCTTAAAATTGGATGATTTTTAAAGAGAAAGATCAGAATAAAATGTTATTTATTACCATAACGCAAACATGTTCTGCAGTCTGTTAACACTTTATTTACAGATCAAATTTAAGGTAAAAACACTGAGTCAGAAGCAAACAGGTGGTCCTACCTGAAGCTGAGATGCTCTTTTATTCTCTGTCCACCAGCTGAACGTCCGGCTATAAACCCACCCAGAAAGGAGGGAGTGGGGAAGTGGGGGAGGAGGAGATGAGGTGGATGTTTCATTCTGATTGGGATAAACTCAGACATCATGGAGACAGTCTCAAAATCTAAACTCCCCACATTCTTGTTTTTATAATTTATGGGGACTTTTTCAGTCATTGTGAGGATTCTGTGAATTATGGGGACATTCAGGATGCTTGACGTGTCTGACTCCATTTCAGGTTCAGATCAGAACCATGTTTGGGTCAGAGCCACAGAAAGGAGGCTGGCTGACGTGTGTCAGTGTTGTTGTGTGTGTGTGTGTCAGTGTTGTTGTGTGTGTGTGTGTGTGTGTGTGTGTGTGTGTGTGTGTGTGTGTGTTTGTACTACCTTTTTCCTGTCATATCCACAAGGGGAAACGCTGTTTTTGGGTCAGGGATTAGATTTAGGACTAAGGTGTGAATTAGGGTAAGGATAAGGTTTAGGTTATAGAAATGAATTGAAGTCAATGGAAAGTCCCCACAAAGATAGCCACACAAACATGTGTGTTTGTGTGAGAGAGAGAGACACAGTGTGTGTATGTGCACTTGTAATTGCGAACGTCTGCTCCTCTCTTATTGAAGTCCTGGAACAACCTGCGGGCTTCAGATCTTATCTCCGGCTCCCTTCTCAACACGCTGCCGCTCTGCTTACACGGCAGCAGGACACACTTCATATATGTTGTGTTGGCACATGATCCACATATGAGCAGAGATGAAACAGATGCAGCAGAAGGTTAAAGGTCAGATGTGATCCAGATGATGAGTATGTCTCTGTTTTAACGTCAGCACTGATCAGTTTCCAAATCGTCCACCACCGCTCATCCTTCTGGCAGCAGCCCAGTTTGGGTCAGCGGTACAGGGCTGGAGATAATGTCAGGAGGCCCCAGAACACCGGGGGCCCCCAGGAGGGCCACCAGAGGGCCACCGGGGCACCCAGCAACCAGACAGCAGGGCACTGAGGAGCCTCCAGCTACATTAGCCTGACAGAGCAGGTGTTCTGAGCTGCTGATAATGACCAGACCAGAGGAGGACCGGCTGTAGAACTTGATCACAGCAAGTTCTTCATCTGCTCTTCCTCTGCAGGTTCATCTGCAGAGGAAGTGGGCGGGGCCAAAGGAAGACGCGTCTCAAAGGCTGCACCTGATTGGATGAACAAAATCAAGTCAAAATGATTGGCCAAACATGTCATCATAGACGTTTCTCAGTGACTACATCTGATTAGACAAAATTAACATCTGTTAATTAAATTTCAAAATAAGAGCAACCACTATTTTAATAAGTTATTGTAGAGATTTTTCAGAGATATCTATAAGTAGTGAAGGCTAAATATTAATGAAATGGTGAGTTTCATTTGTTTAATATACAAAATATAATCAATCAATCATTAATCAAACTTTATTTGCACAGCACATTTCAGCAGCAAGGTATGCAGTATAATTAATCAAAACATCACATTAAGTCGATGAGTAACTGACTATGTTTCAAATAAACTCTAATCAGGTGGGTTTTAAGTTGAGATTTAAAGGAACTCAGTGTTTCAGCTGTTTTACAGTTTTCTGGAAATTTGTTCCAAATTCGTGATGCATAGAAGCTGAATGCTGCTTCTCCTCGTTTGGTTCTGGCTCTGGACGCAGAGCAGAACCAGAACCAGAACCCGAGGGGTCTGGACGGTTGGTACAACAGCAGCAGATCTTTAATGTGTTGTGGTGCTAAACCGTTCAGTGATTTATAAACTAACAGTATTTTAAAGTCTGTTTTCTGAGCTACAGGGAGCTACAGGTGTAAGGACTTTATAACTGGTGTTATGAGCTCCATCTTCCTGGTTCTAGTCAGAACAGCAGCAGCAGCTTCTCAATCAGCTGCAGCTGGAGGATTGATTTGTTAGTCAGACCTGTGAAGACGCTGCTATATGACCAGCCATCACACTAACAACAGCGTGTATATTTTGCAGTAAGGTTCAGTAAATGTGTGTGTGTGTGTGTGTGTGTGTGTGTGTGTGTGTGTGTGTGTGTGTGAGAGAGAGAGAGAGTGTTGGGTGTGTGTGTGTTACAATGTTGTTGCTTTAACAAGATTAGATTGCAAGCTAACATTACGTCAGGCTTTCATCAGGTCAAAGGTCAAAGGCAGGAGTTTGGGAGAAGTAGAGCCTCAGTTTCATTCTTTCATCTCTGAGTCCAGAAGGATGGACGGATGTCAGATTTTCTCTCTGATCCTGTTCTTTCATGAAATGTTTTCCAGTTTTTTTGAGCTAATTTAAATCAGTTTGTGTTTAAATCTGGAGATTAAAGCAGCTTCCTGTAATCCCATCTAAGCTCCGCTCCTTTCTTCTTCTTCTCTGCTGACAGAAACAAACTTCCTCACTCCGTTAGAAGAGCTCCTGAGGTTTAAATCTGTTTTCATCATCGGTTAACTCGGCTTTAATCGCCCGCAAACAGCCGCACATCCGCCGCCGGAGCGCCGCAGCTCCAGCCTGATGAGTCGCCATGGTGACCTCAGGACCACATGAAGGGAAAACCACACACGCCTTCAAACGCAGCAGCGCTACCTGCTCGGCTTCACAGGTGTGTTTTAATCTCTCTGCGGTCTCTGTGGTGTCGGGTTTCAAACGGCCGCCTCACCTGAGGCCTTCCAGGAAGGAAGCGAAGGCGGCGCTGTCCCGCCGACTGATGCGGTCGAGCTTCAAACGCCACGCCAGACTTCTGAGGCTCTGCCGGCTCAGCGGAGATGGATCAGAGGTAGCGCAGCGCTATAAAACCCCACGGCTCCTGAAGGCAGCGCAGCACTCACCTGGCTGGCTGGGAGAGAGGAGGAGAAGATCCTGAGGAAGAGGAATAGAGCCTGAGGAAGAGGAGTGTTTTCAGAGGAAGCTTGGGCTGATGGATCACAGGATGTGGATCTATCGCAGCTTCCTGTGCGCGTCGCTGGTCTGCGGTTTGGCGCTGGACTCCAACACCATCCGGTCGTCCAAAGAGGCGGTGCTGCAGAGCGCCGAGCAGCAGGTGAGGCTAAAGTATTCACACCCCCAGCCTGAAAACTCTTCCTCTCCTCCTCCTCTTCTCTTCCTCCCCTGTCGGTTGAATCAAACTGAGGAGTTTCTGCTAACGCTAGCTGCCCGATAATCTGCTGTCAGTTTATCTTACTGTTCTCTGTCTTTATATTCTCTGACTCCTTGTTTCTGTTTTTTATCATTTGAGGTAAAAATTGATTAAAAATTCATCTAATGATGCTGAGAATCTCAGATAAAATACATCTGCAAATAAACAACAGAAATTATATTTTTCTTTTGTGGTTCTGCAGTCCAGACTCGTTTCTTTCCTGCTGTAAGATCCGGCATTGAGACATTTTAAAATGATTCGGGTCCAATGTTCTCAAGATGCAAATAAAACAGAGAGAAAACGGAGATGAATCAATTAATTTAAGGAAAACCCTGAGAGATTCATCCGGCTTTCTGTCTGTGAAGCTTTTATCTTGTGTTTTCATGGATTTGAGCAGGAAAAGCTGCTAAACTCAAAGGATGAACCAGTTTCTGTTTGATTCATGATCAAAGATCCAGTTTTAGACTCAAAGTTTAGTCATGAAGGCTCATTTAAAGCAGGAGTGTCCAAACGTTTAGTCCCAAGGGCCAAAATCAACCAAATACAGAAATTAAAAGCAGATCTGAAGAACCAAGGTGAAATTTAGAGTGTAAGTCAATGAGGATGTGTTTCCAGTTACTATGGCAACCAAAGGAAAGCAGAATGCTTGGAAAAGATGATCATCGTGTGTCGCATTAATTCAGCATCTTTGTCAGTAGATTTTAATTTCAAAGTTTTGGTTTTGTCCTTATTTATTTTAATTTGGATTAAATCTAATCCACTTTGAACAGCTGTGATCTGGAGAAAATCCCACAGATGAAACAGATTCAGAGTCAGAGGAGATTTTAGCTCCAACAACGTTAGACGTCATTTTAAATGTTTAGCTCTTGTTTCCAGCCAACGACCCAAAAACATTAAAAACTCATTTTAACTTTAATCAAGCCAGCTTTTGTTTGGGGTTTCTGTTTAGCTTTCCTAGCTTAACGTGTCTTAGCTCAGGTTTAGCTTAGCTGAATATATCTTAGCTTCATCTACTTTTTCCAGTTTTTTTCCTTTTCCTAACTGAGCCTCATTCAGCTCAGCTTGTTAGCTCAGTGTTTCCTACTTCACGTTTTCTAGCTTTGTTTGGTTTAATTAGTTAGCAATGTTGGTTCGCTAAGCTAAGCTTAGTTTATTTAAGTTTGATTGGTCTTTTGTGTCCCTAGTTTACCTTTTCTAGTTAACATGCTTTAGTTTAGCCTCGTTAACTCAGTTTATCCTATGTTTGCTCTTCATGACTTGATTTATTTGTCCTTATTTAGAAAATCTTAGTTTTTCTAACTTTGATTTTTTTAAATTGGTTAACATAATCTTACCTATTTTTCCAAGTTCAGCTAAATTCTATTGTTTCAGTTAGCAACTTGTAATTAGCCCAGTGTTTATCCTACCTTTGCATTATATTTATTTTGGTCTGTGTTAGTTTTACTTTCCCCCACTGCCATTCTAATTTAGCACATTTTGTAACTTAATTTAGGTTAGCTCATATTATTTTAGCTTCCATTAGCTCATTTTAGCCTAGCTTAGCTTAGTTGATGCTACTTTTCCTCATGTAAACTGATTTTCTGTCCAGATTAAAAAAAAAAGTTTACTTATTTTTAGCAGCTCATCGGTTGATTTACATCCAAAGCAGACTGTTAATCAGCGACCTGAGCTGCTGAAGCCGTATGTTTCCGTCATCAGTCGATATGCTGACGATGCGCTTCTGTTCTCCAGAGGGGAGGCTGCAGTAACAGAGCTCAGAGGAGACACTCCAACACCAACCGACAGCTGGACCGACAGCAAGTCAAAGACAGAATCACAGACAGCTTCAACAGAACCAAAGGTGAGTTTCTGGACTCCAACTCCCAGCATGCCCTGTGGCCCCGCTCTAACGCCTAGCATGTTTTAGCTCCAGAGATGTCGAGCTGCGTCCGATCCGGGGACTGCGCCGCCGGGCTCTGCTGCGTCCGGTACCTGACCGGGAAGCGGTGCCAGAGGATCCCGCTGGAGGGCGAGGCCTGCCTGCTGCGGGGCGCCACCAAGCGCCGCCGCAACCTGGGCCGCTGCGACTGCGCCGCCGGGCTGGCGTGCGCCGCGGCGGGCGGCGCCGACCAGACCAGCAGCAAGCGGCAGGGTGTCTGCGTGGTCCGGTCCGGACCGGCCCAGAGGAAGACCAGACACTCCGGCCGGAAGAAGAAGAGGACGGCAGAGCGGAGCTGCTGAAGGAACTGAGCCGCGGCTGGGGTCCAAACTGAGGCCTGGGGACCGTGACCGGGCCCTCCATTCAACCTTATGGACACTGTCTTCTTCTCCTCTTTAGGGAAAACCCAATAAACGTTCACATGAGCGGCTCAAAAAAACTGGATCAGAACTCAGAGTGGACCCAAATACCTGATCTGGTTCTGACTTCATCTCCCTGCAGCAGTCTGCAGGCGATCTGGTCCAACATGGCAGAACCAGAGCTGAACCAGAACCTTTTGGTTCCAGACGGACCAACCCATGAAGCCTTTCTTCTGTTTCCAGTTAGCATAAAGCTAAGATGTTCTGATCCGGATTAAACACAGTGGTTCTGTTCTGTTCTGTTCAGCAGAACGGCTTTGCTCCAGCATCGGCCTGGTTCTGGTTTTGCTGACCTGTAAATCTGCAGGTCGGACCCAGAAAGGAAACCGGAACCAGAACCTCGGGTCCAGGCTGAAACTGCGGAGGGAACTGTTCTAAAACAACCAACCAGAACTCAGCTGGGGGTCAAAGGTCACCATCTGAACATAAACTGTGAGAACGTTCGTCCCGGTTTCAGATGAACAAATCGAGGTTCTGGTGGTACCGGGGATACTTTCCTGTCATTCAGAGGTCAAAGGTCACCTGTAAATATAGAAATGACTCGTATCATCCTGTTGATATTTTTCTGATTAAATCTCAATAAAAGTTAATTTGTTATAAATCTGAATATCTGACTTTTTCTCTGGAAAACATGTAAATGCTGCCCCCTGGTGGACGAGCGGAGTAACTGCTGCTGACCTTTGAACTCCTGTCAGAAACTCATCAGTAAAATTTGAGAGCTGAATATGAATTTAATTTTTCCATAACAGTAAATAACTAAAGGTAGTTTTCATCTCAGAACCAGATTCTAATTTATAAAATTCTGATTTAATATATTTTTGGATCCATTTTGTTTAACTTTGATCTAATTCTGTTTCTAATGATTAAACTCAGTGGCTGTAGAAAGTATTCAACTCCTTCCATGTTTTACTCTTGTTTTTATGAATCAGGAGCAAAATTTTTGTATTTTAAGATTTTTTTAGCC